AGGATGCTGTAAAAGGACCAAACTTCAGCCAGGAGAACAACTGAGATAATCCATCCACAATACGAGGTTAGTCATTCATATACTGCTGCATGGGCTGGGCTGTAGCTACATCCTAAGGTTTTAAAAACTGAGAATGATTAGTGGTAATAAAAGCCGAGGGAGGTCAACAGGGATCACTGACTGTTTTAGGAGCTTTTTGAGATCAAATAGAAGAAAATACAAAACATTAAACATGTTAACAACACAAAAGCCATATTAAACGCAGACTACTTTAGACCCGGAAGTAGGATTCGTCGCGTCATCACTGAACAACCGGATAACGATCAGACTCACACTGAATCTCACTGACTTTTTGTCTCTAAACTAGAAAAAGCTCTAAAATCCGTCTCTTCATCTTTCGGACAGTGTCGTAGACAGACAGAAAATAATTTTCTTTGGTGGTGATGTTCTCATTTTCTCTCTAGCAGCACAATCAGGTGTAGTTTTGAGCGCTGCAGCCTGCAGAGGGCGCCAATGGTGTCAGGACAGCGACGCAGTGTGACGTCACAATCAAAGGGGACCTGTTCTGCTTTTTCTCGTTTTCTGGTGCAAGAGTAAAGTCATAGTCTCTGATGTTGAGATGAAACACCACCCATGTGTCAGATAACGAGCTCATCACCACACTGGCTTCCTGAAATTTCTGTTTGCTCCAGTCTCACAGTGATGGAGCGATGTTGGTCTGAACATCACTCTCTGGGTCTACGGCCCCAAGATCCCCCCAAAAACCACCAGACAGAATACAAAGGGAGAGTAAATCTATTCATGTTAACATATAAAGGGTATTTTGTGACTTTAGATATAAGAGACATGACTGTGGCTCAGCATGAGCATTTATTTTTGATGAAATTGGATTAGCGTGAGCCGGGAAGAGGCTCCAAATGATTCTGGGTCATGGATTTAGTTTTTAATGTGGTCAGGCTCTATATTTGTAAAATAAATTAATTAATTAATAATAATAATAATAATATAAACTTTGCATTAATAGATATTTATATTGACTGAGAGAGCAAGAATCAGACCGATCAAAGATCAGGTCCAAACAACCTGTAGCATGTGTTCAGGTGCAGTCATGTGATGGGCACGTCTTCCAGAAGTCATTGTTAGGTGAGAAGCTCAGTTTGGAGATTTGCTTCCACAACACGTTTTCTCTTACAGCGCAGGGATAAAAGCAGATAAAATCCACGTTATGCAAATGAGTGTTTCTTAAACGAGATGAAGCCTCATTTGCATATTTAAAAATCAACCTCCAAACAGTTCATGTCTATAATTAGTCAGTTTCACGATATTATCTGTACATACTGGTTTGCAATAAACATGTATGAAGTTCTGCAGATCATATCTTTGCTTTCTCCATGTCAGTTCTTTTCTTGCACCACAAATATTGTCCTTACCTCCAGCACAGCCATCTGGCAGTGACCCTCCGGCCTCTGCCATAATCCTCAGATGGACCTGGGCCTGCTCATTTAAGCCACACCCACTTCCATCAGTGTTTTCTTTTTTTATCACGAGGTTGGCTGACTGGTTCACTGTGCATACCGATAGTGAACCTTACGTTGCTGCTTTCACTTTACTTGAATGTTCAAACTTTTGCATTTGATCCAGTGACTTGGGCTCCTCTAGGGCTGGAGTAACCTGTGAGAGCTAGTGATGCTGTTCTACTGCAGATGAATCACCTGAATGAGGAGGTGGGCTCCTGTTCAGTTACTCTGAATCTCCTCTTCACCTCACTCTTATACCTGTTCACCCTGTGTCCCTCCTCTCTAACTCCACTCACTGTGACATCACCAGCCACCCTCTCTATTCAATTCAATTCAATTTTATTTATATAGTGCCAAATCACAACATAAGTCGCCTCAAGGCGCTTCATAGATACAGAGAAAAAAACCCCAACAATCACGTGACCCCCTATGAGCAAGCACTTTGGCAACAGTGGGAAGGAAAAACTCCCTTTTAGCACCTGGAGTCCCAGGCTTCTACCGTTCTACCTTTAAAAGCCGGAGAGCAGTCAAATGATGGAAGTGGAAGATATGATATGTTGTTACCTAGGAATTCTGGAGGGAGGGGAGTGGGGGTGTGTGATTGAGGGGGTGGGGGAGCTGCTAAAAGCTGTGAACTTCCCTTTTGTGTTTCATCTTGATGCATTCTCAATCATCCAGGGAAATAAATCTCCAAAAGTCACCAACTTGGAGTGTTTCAGTTTGCCATCTTAGG